AAAATGTGCAATGGAGACCTGGCGTACAGCACTCTTTCCGCCATATCTTCCACGTTTGAAGAGCTTTTTTCGCGCTCAATCCAGCGTTGAAAAGAGGGGATTAAACCACGTCGAGTGTGGTAATCAGCGCCTCGAAACTGTTCCTCTAGGAGAAACCGCACTTTGGCATATGGAGATTGTTGTATTTATTACAGACGAGAAGAAGTAGATCAGTTTCTGTAGGGTATCTGGTGTATTATCGCAAGATGGACTCTGGTTTCAAGTCCAAAGAATGGCTTCGAACTGTATTTTCAGGGAGCTGCTATAGCAGCTTCGCCCGAACAGATGCTGCAGCTGCTAAGCAGACGCAGGAGATGCGCCTGCAAGGAACCCCAAGTCTTCCAAACTTAAGCTTATTACATTCTCTTTTTGAATGTATTTTTTTGTTAAATTGCTGAGTTTCTTCGAGCGAAGCACGGCTTTTTCCTGAACGGATTTCAGCTTGTTACAGAAGAGTCTGGCGAATCGTCAATACATTTTCAGTTTGAATTAACTCGCAATTCTCATGAATGTGCGCCACATCAACCACCTGAACATGTATACTTGATCAAAAAGTTGTTCTAGGGCAGTGTATAACTACGGCCCGTAGCCAGCAATACTGAGAATAGGAAGGGTGAGGGGGGCGGGGGCTAAAGTCCAAAATGGTTTGCGACATCTGTGTAAAATATACCCGACGATAGATCATGTATATTATGCATGTTTAAAAATAAAAGCATTAAAACACCAGGCATTTAATTTTCCCTTCGATCGCACTGTTGGATTGGAACAGTCTGTTGGAATAGGTTTACGAGATGCTGCTTATGGAATCGACAAGGTCATCGATGATTACGATCGGGCACAAGAACTCCTAACCTAGGCTAGGTTACATTTCACAGTTCTGGGCCCAGAAACCGGCCTTTAGCCTAGACGAAGTCCACATCCTTTACATTTTCTCAATACTCGGCCAATTATCCGAGTTTCCTTACACATTACCGGATGTCTTGGTATTGACATGTGAGTCGCACGCTACAGTAAAAGATTGGATACACTCCGTGCGATACTACCTTTCTACCGTCATTTCCAAATTCGAATTCTGTATTTTTCACGCCGTCCGACGGACTCGGCCATGCCTTCTCACAACGTTGTGCTTTTGCTGGTGGCTACGCTGCTTGCAAGTGCCAATGCTCTCTTGGCAACCGAGAAAACCGAGTGTTCAAGTCTGAGGCAACTAC